GGCCAATCTGCAGCGCCCCCGGGGCCGGCGCTCACCGTGCACCATGCGCCTGGGGCCGGCTCCGGCACCGCGCATGCGCCACGTGCCCGGGGCCAGGCCAGCCCTGAGCACTTGGTGGGCGCAGACAAATACCCCCGCGGGTGCCATGGCGCCCGCGGGCACCGTGTTGGGGACCACTGATCTACTGTAATCCCAATGTCTTTTTCTGCAAAACTGTCACTTAGCCAATCGGTCCTCAGCTTATAACAGTGCATGGGATTCTTCTGTCCTAAGTGCAGAAGTCTGCACTTGTCCTTGTTGAAACTCATCAGCTTTCTTTTGGCTCAATCCTCCAATTTGTCTAGGTCACTCTGGACCAGGGGTGGCCAACCTGTGGCTCGCGAGCCGCATGCAGCTCTTCACCCTTGAAAGTACGGCTCGGGAAGCCACCCCATGCGCCCCTACAAACAGCCCCCGGCTCCCTGTGCTCACTGGGTGCAGGGGAGCCATCCGGCACGGCAAAATGGTGTCGACCGATGGGAGTCTGATGTGGCCAAAAAGCCTAACCCGTGAGGCAGCATTTTTCTGTGTTGGGTTTTTTTTTTTCGCTCGACAATTCTGGTACAGATCTTCACATTTTTTCCGCCACTGTTTTGACTCTCTTTGTTTAATGGGTTGGCCACCCCTGCTCTAGACCCTATCCCTACCATCCAGCATACCTACCTCTCTCCCCAGTTTAGTATTTCCCATGAACTTGCAGAAGATGCAAACTAACACGTCGTCCAGATGATTAATGAAGCTTTTGAACAAAACTAGCCTTACAACTGATTTTTGGGACATTATGTTTGATACGGACTGTCAACTACTCATCAAGATATTGATCACTGATTGTTGAGCCTGACAATATAGGCAGCTTTCTGTCCACTATATAGTCCATTTATCCAAGCGATACTTCTTTAACTTGCTGGCAAGAATACTGTGGGAGACTATATCAAACGTTTTATCAAAGTCTAGGTATATGACATCCACCATCTTCACCACGTCCACAGAGCCAGTTTTTACATCATAAAAGACAATGAGGTTGGTCAGGCATAACTTACCCTTGATGAATCCATGTTGACTGTTCCTCATCACTTTCCTCTTCTCTAAGTGTTTCAAAATTGATTCCTTGAGGATGTGTTTTTTTCAGGGACTGAGGAGAAGCTGATTGATTCCTGAATTCTCCTTTTTTTCCTTTTTTAAAGATGGGCACTGCATCACCTTTTTTCCAATCATCTGGGACCTCCCCACTCTCCACGAGTTTTCAAAGATAACGGCCAATGGCTCTGCAGTCACATCAGTCAGCTCTCATAGCACCCTTGGGTGCATTAGATCCAGCCCCATGGACTTGTGCATATCCATCTTTTCTAAATAGTCCTTAACCTGTTCTTTCACTATTGAGGGCTGCTCACCTTCTTCCCATAATGTGCTGTCCAGTGCAGCAGTCTGGGAGATGACCTTATCTGTGAAGACTGAGGCAAAAAAGCATTGAGTTTTTCAGCTTTTTCCCATACCATCTGTCACTAGGTTGCCTTCCACAGTTAGAAGGGTCCAACACTTTCCCTGACCACTTTCTTGTTGCTAACGTATCTGTAGAAATGCTTATGGTTATCCTTCACATCCCCTGCTAGCTGCAACTCCAGTTGTGCTTTGGCCTTCCTGATTATACTTTGACATGTACAAGCAATGTTTTTACACTCCTTCCTAGCCATCTTTCCAAGCTTTCACTTCTTGTAAGCTTTCTTTTTTGTATTTAAGATCACTGAAGATTTCTCTATTAAGCCAAGCTATCACCAGCCATATTTGTTTTACTTTCTGTGTATTGGGATGGTTTATTTCTGCATCCTCAGTAAGGCTTCTTTAAAATACAGGCTACTCTCCTGGACTCCTTTCCTCCTAATATTAGCCTCCCAGGGGATCCTGCCCATCAGTTCCCTGAGGGAATCAAATTATGCTTTTCTGACGTTCGCGGTCCATATTCTGCTGCATTTCTTTCTTCCTTTTGTCAGGATCAAGGATTTTTCAAAATTCCTCTCTTGTAACTCTTTTTTCTTTTATTTTTGGCAGTCCAAAGTCTTTTATTTGCAGAGAACACAAGATATGCTTTAGCTCAAACCGAACTTATGGGCTTGATGTGAGAATTACTAGGAGAAAATGTGTGCCCTATTTTGTGCAGGATGCTAGACTAGACCATAAGGATCACTACTGGCCCTAAAATATATGAATCTGTGTTGCATAATTAGATAAGAATACAAATATATTATAAGCTTTTTGTTGTAAATTTACTGCTGATGAAAGTTGCCAGAGTTTTAGTCCTGAATAGATAGTGATCTCCTAACATACTGGATATAACTTACCGTAAAATCTCGAATATAATGCGCACGTATGTATAATGTGCATCTGCCTTTTAAAGGTCAGAATTCTTGAATAAAATAAACTCTTATCTGTAATGTGTACCCCCATTGTACTCGAGATTTTATGGTATGCATAGGAAGGAAGGGGCTTGCGCTTGCCGCGGGGCCCCCCACCCAGCTGAGCTCATGCCTGCCGCGGGGTCCCCCTGCCCAGCTGAGCTCGAGCGTACTGAGCTCGTGCCTGCTGAGGGGGTCTTCCCCACTCAGCTGCCGGCGCGCCGAGCTCGTACTTGCCACAGGAACTTCCCCCGCTTAGCTGCCGGCGCGCCAAGCTCTCGCCTTTCAGGAGAGCTTCCCCCACTCAGCTGCCGGCGCGCCGAGCTTGTGCCTGCCGGCCCCTTTACCCCCCAGCACAGGCCAGCGCAACCCATGTCTGCTGAGGGTGAGTTTAAAACTTTTTTAAAAAACCTCTTACAGATAATGCACACCCTGACTTTGAAGCTAAAAAAACAGGGAAAAAAGTGCGCATTATACTCGAGATTTTACGGTATGTAAAAACAGTTCAGTTTTCCCTCAATAGCTCCATTATTATGCTTTCACCCTGTTCCATAGTGGCAACTTCTGTGGATAAGAATAGTTTCCATGTTACTCATCCTCTTTGCTGTGACTTTCCAAAGGACTGCCCAATGTAATGATTATTTTTAGAAATAGCTACCTACCCACAGTGATGTGGACAGGAAATCATCCTATTTCTTTCACCCCTGGTCTACTCTAGGGGATAAGTTTGAATTAAGATACACAACTTCAGCTACGTTAATTGCATAGCTTAAGTCAAAGTATCTTAATTCAAATTTTGGCACTGTTCACACTGCAAGAAGTTGAAGGGAGTATCCTCTCCCTTCAGCTTCCCTTACGTCTTGTAGAAGCAGGACTGCCGGCATTAACCACTCAGTTAAATTAGCGTGTCTTCACTACAGCCATTAATTTGAACTCCAGAAGATTGATTGCAGCTGTTTTGATCTTATCTGTAGTGTGGATGTAGCCTCACATAGGCCATCCAAAGTCCAGAAAAATCCAAAACAAAAATAGCTAACAGAAAATATTTGAAAAATGAAACAAACATCTGTGTGTGAAAGTGGAGTTTTCTTTTGGTCCCTTTAAATAAACTGTTTCCCCAAACTTGTTTTCACACAACTTCACTGCACATATTACTAGTTAGGAAAAACGTAAAGTGCTCAAGGAAAGACAGGTAAGTATTTAATGCAGCATATGTATTTTTCTAGATGGAACAAGAATGTTGAAAAAGAGCTCTCTAAGTTTCAGTCAATATTTTCTTTGAAATTGTTTTCGCTTGTTTACTTTTGACCCTCAATATATAAAAATGCAAAGGTCACAATGAGCCATACATGTGGCAGCAGAACATAAAATAAAAATAGTCATACTGGTCCATCTAGCTCAGTATCCTGTCTTTTGACAATGGCCAATACCAGATGCTTCAGAGACAATAAATAGCATAAGGCAATGTAATGAGGGATCTATCCCCTGTCATCCAGTCCCATCTTCTGGCACTCAGAGCTTTGAGGCACCTAGAGCATGGGGTTGTCCTCCAACCATCTTGGCTAATGGCTATTGATCAGCCTTTCCTCCATGAACTTATATAATTGTTTTTTGAACCCACTTTTACTTTTAGCTTTCACAATGTTGCTGTAAGTGGAGTATGCATTGTGTGGAAAAATACTTCCTTGTGTTTCATTTAAATTACTGCTATGCCTATTGATTTAATTCAGTGACCCCTATTTATTATGTTGCATGAAGATGTAAATAACTCTTCCTTACTCATTTCCTTCACACCATTCATGATTTTACAGATCTCTACTATAATCTGCTTTAGCTGTTTCCTTTCTAAAAGGAATAGTCCCAGTCTTTTTAACCTCTCCTAATATGGAAGCTGTTCCACAACTCTAATATTTTATTGGGCTTCTCTGTACTGTTTCCAAGTCTAATATATCTTTTTTTGAAATGAGGTAACCAGAACGGTAGGCAGTATTCAAGGTTTGGGCATACAGGAGACCTCCGACTTGCGACCACCCAAGTTCTGACCCTCCGCACTTACAACCATTTTTGTAAGTGTGGAAGGGGCCAGAAACCCCTGACTTGTGTCCTCGGCCCGCATTTACGATGGCACACGGCACCTATCGTAAATGAGGGTTCAAGTTATGATGCCCCTGACTTGTGACGCTTCCCGCAGAACCAGTCATGTCACAAGTTGGGGGCCTCCTGTATTTGCTATAACCTTCACTTTTTAAACATGGGAAGCCAGTTGCCGCATCATATATTCTATAAGTATACATGCTTTATGATTACTGTATATTGTGTATTCATAACCAGCAACTCCCATTGCTTATTTTAATATTAAGGAAAAACTTTAATATCTTAGGGAAAAATGTAAGTTGTTGCATTGTATTTTATATTTTCTTCTAAATATTATTGGTCATCAAGTACCATGTTCATCTTCACATACAGAAAATTATGCTAGATATTGCTTTAAAAACATCTGATATTTATACCTGCCTCATTGAGATAATTGAAGTGCCTTTTTAGTATGTTCTAATTTGCCATCTGGTAAAGAGACTGTTAAGAAGAGCTACAGAAACACAGGAAACCCACTTATGGTAAAGTTCATACATGTGCTAAATTTTCAAAACTGCCCATTCTGTAGGTAGGCAGTGTGATCCAGCAGCTAGAGTTCAGAACTGGGAACCAGGAGATATGGATTCTATTTTAAATTCTCTCACTGACTCATTGTGTGATCTTGAAAGTTTACAAAGAGTATGCCTACCCTACAATTAAAAATACACAGGTTCACGGTGTCAGCTGACTCAAGCTTTCAGTTCTTGTTAAATTGCTGTGTAAACATTTGGGGTTGGGCGGAAACTCAACCTCTGGGACCCCACGGGTGGGTAAGGACCCAGAGCTTGAACTGCAGTCCAAATCCAAATGTCTACAGTGCAGTTTAACAGCCTCTTAGCATGAGTGCTGTGAGCCTGAGTCAGCTGACACAGTCCAGCTTTAAGTGTTTAATTGCAAGATTTTGGGTAGCTCAGTTTTTGACTTCCTAGCTTGAGATATCCAGATATTCTGAAGTACGGAGTACCCACTATTATTGGCATCAGTTAAAGTAGCTGTTGTTTAGCACTTATAAAAATAAGCCTTAAATAAGCCTATTGTCAAGTTGGGGAGTCAAAGTTAGTGAATACTTTTTGAAAATGTGGGTCTCTGAATGTCAGTTTTCCCCTCAGTGAAATAATGATATATCCTTTCCCTCCTCTTTAAAAACTTTTGAAATCTGAAGATCAAAGTTATTCTTGTTGTAAAAATATGGAACACACAGATCTCTTAGTGTGTAAAGATCACATTTGGCTGCATAATTTAGGTGACTAGTTTTATTAGTTTGCCCTGTATGTTTTAATGAATGAGTATGTTCATTATATAAAGGATCAGATAGTTAGAATGGGTGATTCTAAGTATCATACAGGATGCGTGCATGATTTAAGGTGATACCTCGGCCATAGATTTATTTTTAAGAGAAATTTTGAAAATAGTAATTTAAAAAGTATGAATTAAATACTCAAAATATTGTTTTTGTTATGGTAGAGCAAGACCAATAAGCAGGGCACTTGACCTTGGAGCTGATATTGTTGTGACTGGTAGATGTGTTGACAGTGGCATTGTATTAGGACCACTCATTCATTCTGTAAGTATCAGTTAATTTTTCATAACTGGGCTTAACCATCTTTTCATAGTATTATGAATACATATGAAGGAATGGTTAGTAATCGTCATCAAGTAGTTTTTTAAAAAAAAATTGGTATGTATGTTTTAATAAAAATAATGAGGTCAGGTAGCTTTTGGCCTTTTCTTTGGCATTTGACATTCATGTTAATTCACCATTAGGCACATGACATTATTTTTAAGTTTATCATATTACATAGTTTAAATGATCCTTATGACAGGATGGCTTGCTCCTTAAGGGCTGGAGGGCCTGGGTCTAGCAAACCCTGATTCCTAAAGGGGCATGTTGAGTTAGATCAGGTAAAGGGAAGCAGGTGGCTGCAGTGAAAGTGGAAGCTCAGGAAGTTGTAGAGAAATGGAAGGGAGCAAGAAAGGCTTTTCCTGTAGGGGAGACCCTGATACCAATAGAATTTAGTAGCTAGAGCCAGGCTGAACTCCAACCAGGTACAGCCTGGGAGTGAATGTGAATTAGGACTCATCTTTGTGAATGAAAGATTGAAACTCCCTACCTAAATGGGAGCGGGGAGAGATTGAATCAGGGTGGGATCTGGAGGGCCAAATTCCTGCTTGGGGAGAGAGAGAAATGGGACCCAGCTCTGGAAAAGAAAGGCTGGGGACCCCCTATCTTAGAGTGGAGAGTCAATGAGTTGTGGTTAGGACCTGGAGGGCCAATGAACAAAGAACTAAATAAACTGGACCCCTAGAAGGGGAGTAACTTAGTTACCTTTGCATTGAGTGAGTTATTGAGGGGCTCTGAAGAGGGAGAGATGGAAGCGGGGTGCCACAGAGTGATCTCTGTCCATAAGGAGGCATTCAAAAAGCAGCCGGCATTGACAGGCTCTCTTGTTCTATATGGAATTTATTGTTCAAAATAATGTTTTACTTGAAGCACAAAAATTAGAAATATTGAATAAAATCATGCACCATTAAAGTTAATGTGATTTTTTTTAATGTTGATTTCAGTGGAGCCAAGATTTCACCCTTAATCTTTTCTGTGTTCAAATTGTAGCGCATAAGATTGTGAGTTGAAACATGTCCTTTACCACAAGGTGGCACAAGTGGTTTTCTGTTTTGTTTATAAAATGCTCAGGACCTATTGCTTCTGCCCCTTTTTCTGGTCTGTTCTCTAGGGCTAGACAAAGTTTTGTGTTTTGTTTTAGAGTCGAGTTTTAATGTGACGTTTCTCAATTAGTCTAATTACAGAAACAATACAAGTCAAGATGTGTGGGGTTTTGAGTACTTATATTTAAATATTTATCTTTATGACTATACCTGCAATGTTGACTTTTTTTTCTTTTTGGTGCATATTAAAATATTCCTAGGTGTGTGTTATTATGATTCATAAATAGTTCATTTTAAAACTTTATACAGGTTGAACCTTTTTAATCTGGAACTCTTTGGTCTGGCAATGTCTGTGGTTCAGCATGATTTTAGTTAGCTGAATGTCTGCTTATCATGGGTATGGTCAAGTTTCCCGTGGTCCCATAAAGTTTGTTTATAGTGGCCAGTCCTGGTTTTCAGTGTTCTGTGCTATTATTTAACTCTAATTTACTCCTAAATGCCTTCTAAGAACCTAGCAAGCACTGGAAGTGTGGGTAATGCCGCTAAGCATAAGCATGTTTTTTACACTTTATCTGCTTATTTCCTTGTGCCAATACAGTAAAATTGTGTAATAGCACCAACAGTTTGTTATGAAAAGAGCTAAGACTTGGCTTGGTATAGGCTTTTGGTGTATCAGTGCAGTTGTACGTTATTAAGCAGCACGGCAAAAATTGTTCCATTTATTTGCCTCACCGAAATAAAAATAAAGAGACCCACTTGCTACCCCATTGACCTTCTGTGGTTCAGCACCCATGTGCCAGACTAGATAGGTTCAACCTGTACTTTTTTTTAACTGCATGCTTAGAATGGCTAGCACAGGGGTGGGCAATAATTTTCACAGGGGGCCCACTTAATGAATTTTGGTACTGGTCACGGGCTGGCTCAAACCCTGCCCTGGAACAGGTTGCTAAGAGTTGTCTGAGACAGAGGCTTTGAAGTAAAAACAGAGTAAAGGGCTCATGGCTCCTGACCCCTCTAGTACCGTATTGCTTGGTAGGTGTCTGGGATTGCTGCCACTATTTAAAAGACTTGTTGATCCAGCCCCAGCCAGGGTAGCACCATGACTGGGAACCCTTTAAATAGTTGCAGCAGCCCTCGGTGGCTGTCAGGCAATGTGGTAGCAGCGGGGCCAGGAGCTACAAGCCCTTTAAATATCAGCAATTTAAAAGGTTCACAGCTCCTGGCCCTGCTGCTACTATGTTGCCTGGCAGCCACCCGGGGTTGCTTCCATTATTTGAAGGGCTTGTGGCTTTGACCCTGCCATGGTAGCGTTGCAACCAGGAACTGTGAATCATTTAAATAGGATCCTGCTGCCTGAGCCACCGCCTAGAAATTCGATGGCACAAGTAGCAGGATATAACTAGAAAGCGGCCAGATGCAGTGCGCGGGCCGGATCAAAGTGCTAAGCAGACCGGATCCAGCCCCCGGGCTATATCTTGCCCAGCTCTGGGCTAGCTGAACTTGTTCTTTTTTCATTGTAGGTCATTAGTAGTTTTTCTATTCCTAACCTACTTAAATACATGAAAGGAAAATTATTTTCTCTCAGGAAAAGTTGCTATTATTAACCCAAGAGTGGTTTATATATGTTTTTTTCATAAATGTATTATCTTTTCTGTTAAGTAGTAAAATGAGTAGTGCTGAGTATTCCATTATTTATATTGTGACCATTCTAATTTATTAATTAATTATAAAATTAAACACAAAAATCCCTTCAGATTTTTCAAGGAAGATTGGGCTGCTGTCAATCACTGGTAATTTTCAAAGGTCTGATAAAATGCCATTACTGAAGTACAGTTGTAAGAAATTGATGCTGGAAAGCTTAGTTTTTGAGCTTTCAGTTTACTGAGATTTTTAAGTGTGCTAGTATTCATATTTTATATTTAATAAAAAGTAGAACATTAAAGACCTACCTATTATTTTTATTGTATAAATTAGTAACAGAGAGGTCAGTATAATATATTGACCCAGTGGTTCTGATCTGTGTGGTAATAAAATTATATACATACAGTTTTCAAACCCCATCAACCAAATGTATATTTTTGTTCATTTTACAAATATAATTTTAACTGCTTTATTTCTCAGAACATCCACTTAATTATGTTATCTCTTGATGCCTGTGTGTATGTCCATAATATATTTGTTTTGTTTTGTTTTAGTTTGGCTGGAACAGAGATGAGTTTGACTTATTAGCAGCTGGGAGGTAAATAATAGAGCTATTAAAATGTATAAAATAGTCTTGATTTTAAAATAAAATTGAGATAAGTGAGGTATTAAAGAGTTTCAACACTGAGAATACACGGATGACCATTTTAGTTAATTTTCTTGCTTGGATGCTACCATTTATTAAACGAGCTTTTGAAAAAAGCAAACATTCTGTAAAGCTTTTGCAGCCCAAATTTTAATCAAAGAATGAGGACAATGAAAAACATGTTAAAGAAGCTGTCCATTTTATGGTCTTTTTATGAGAGAAGGTGTGTAACCTTATGTTACAGGCAGTAAGGTAAAAGGCTGGATGCAGTTATTACTGGCTGAAGTTCTGTATGGCCTGTGGTAAATAAGAGATCAGCCTATAAATGATCAGGATAGTCCCTTTTGGCCTTGAAATGTATGAAAAAGTGATACTCAGATAATCCCAATGGACCCATCGAAAGAGCTGGTCAAAGCTTAGAATGTCTGTTCTGCAGAAAATTCCAACACTTCAAAAAAACATGTTGACCTAATTTGATTTGAAAATGTGAAATATCAGCATTTCCTGCAAAATCCAAGCAGCTCTGGTTTTACCTGAGTGTTCCCAGGTCTGCCCATTTCCCAGCTGTGCAACAGGGACTCTGAGAGCTCCATGCGGGCACTCTAAATTGTTAATCATTTTTTAAACTCTTGGCCTTGATATAAAAAAACTGCATCAAATTACTATTAAGAAAGCATCTAGCATGTTCCCTTTTGTCTTCTTTAACTCTGATAATTATACTGTACTATTGTATTTGATGTTAAGTGGCAGTAAGTAACAATATAGTTATTTACTGGAGTGTTTTTTTGCTTTCTAGTCTTGCAGGCCATCTCATTGAATGTGGTGCTCAGTGTACGGGTGGAATATTCACAGACTGGCATACTGTTCCAGACTGGTAAGGGGCTGTAATACTGATATAAAAGGCCCAGTTGTCTACTCAGTGCTTTTTCTGTCTGTTTTTTTGGTCATATTTCCTTTTTAAGATGTTCTTCCTCGCTATTCTGTTACCTTTCCTGACTCTAGAGGGCCTGTCATGATTCAAATGGAATCTTGTCTTCAATCTTGATAAATGCAGTTCTGGAGCAGGGCATGTTTGTTGTCCTTAGTATTGTTTTCTCTAAAACATTTTTTATCTTTTACTTTTTAGAATGATCTGGTATCATTCTTCGTTCTCTACTGTTTTGTTGTCTCCTCGCTGTGTTTTTTGATCATGGCAGTTGTTCACTTGATAACTACTATGTCAATTCTTCAGTTGGATCATCCAGTCTGCTATGTTGAAAATATGTTTCTTAGTCCCGGCTTGATCCTGCCATGTGCTAAACCTCTTCTGTGAATTACATAATGCCTCTAATTCCCATTCAGGCCAGAGCACTCAGAACCTTAGGCATCAGCAATCGCAGGATCAGATACTTTCTTTTCAGATTGCTAGTTTGTTTATACACAGTATTCTTCTATCATAATAACCCTAATGATTGTGTTCTTTAGCCTAAGAATCAAGTGACAGAGTTAGTGGTTATGGTAACAAGACATTCTGTTCAGCTTACAATATTATAAAACTAATCGTACTTATTATGTCCCCTTGTATTCTACAATACCATGAAACTGCTTTAATATCCTATGTAACAGGATTCCAAAAGAGCTTTGTTATATAAAGTGAGCCAAAGAAAATGTTTTTTCCTATAAAAGTGCTAGTAGCTCTTTGCTTCTGGGAGTTTTTAACCTAAACAACAGAGGTGGGTGGTTTTAATAAAGGAAAAATATGTTAAAACTCTTTGAGGTGTGCAGGTATACTCACTATGTAGGTATGTTAACTTACCTCTGTGTATGTCTACACACACTCATACCCATACATAATGTATGTTTGAATATTTATGTATAAACATTTATTATATGTATATTAATGGATATTTAAAATCATGGTATTTCTGTGACCTTAGTGCATAATATTAGCACTGAACAGTGGTTTTTTGTTATGTCCCATTCACCACTTACAAGAACACATTTGCATTAATTACTGCCATTAGTATCTGAGTAATTTTCTGCTTGTGCAGGTTAATTATGTTGAAGAGGAAGGATTAGTCCTGAAACTGGGGAAATCTTTCTTTTTAGATATTGCTTACATACTGAAGTAACTTAATTTTACAATCAAAAAGCATTTTGTGTGTTCACCCATATTATCCATGGCTTTAAAGACATTGCATAAAAGATTAAGCACAATTTAAAAAAATTCCTGAGTTTTAATATTTTAAATTTAAAGAGAAAGAAATGAGAGTTGACTTGCTAGCATAGTGGATTTGTGTTACAGCATTTCTCTACTGGAACAGTTGTAAAATAGTTGGTTCCTATATGTATACTTGGATATTTTAAGAAGGAACATGTTATAAAAGCCTTCAGACTGCAGATAACCAAATTCAGTATCATAGCTATCTACTTCAATATTATTAGACCTTTATCTCTTAAACCTATGGAAGTATTTACTTTTTTATACTTGAAAAATACCTTAGCTCATTTAGAGGCCAATGACTAAATGATTTTTGGTTTTATTATAATAATTATTAAAATGCGCAAATATCTGCTTTGCTATCAGCATATCACTAGCATACTGGTGAAATGTCCAGAAAGGAATTTGAAGAACAGCTAGCCAAAAATTCAAAAAATAATAGCAAAAAATACGTACACCAAAAGCAGGAAGCCTGCTAAACAACCATGATGCCACTGGAGCATCAAAATGCTAAAGGAGCGTTCATGGATGATAAAGTCATTGCAGAGAAACTAAACGAATTATTTGCATCAGTCTTTACAGATGAGGATATTAGGGAAATTCCCAAACCTGAGCCATTCTTTTTAGGTGACAAATCCAAGGAATTGTCCCGGATGGAGATGACATTAGAGGAGATTTTGGAACAAATTGATAACTAAACTGATAACTAAACAGTAACAAATCATGAGGACCAGATGGCATTCACCCAAGAATTCTGAAAGGACTCAGATGTGAAATTATGAAACTACTAACTGTGGTTTGTAACCTGTGCTTTAAATCATCTTATATACCAACCAGATGGCATTCACCCAAGAATTCTGAAAGGACTCAGATGTGAAATTATGAAACTACTAACTGTGGTTTGTAACCTGTGCTTTAAATCATCTTATATACCAACTGACTGGAGGATAGTTAATGTGACACCAATCTTTAAAAAGGGCTCTAGAGGTGATCCTGACAATTACAGCCTGGAAAATCTAAGCTCAATACTGGGCAAATTGGTTGAAACTATAGGTAAGAACAGAATTGTCAGACACATAGATGAACATAATTCGTTGGGAAAAAGGCTTTGACAAGGTCCCTCAGTAAAGGCTCTTAAGTGAAGTAAGCTGTCATGGGATAAGAGGGATTGATAACCTGTTAAAAGATAGGAAACACAGGCTAGGAATAAATGGTCAGTTTTCAGAATGGAGAGAGATAACTAGTGGTGCCCCACAGGGGTGTTTACTGGAACCAATCTTATTCAACATATTCATAAATGATTAGGAGAAAGGGATAAAAAGTGAGGTGGCAAAATTTGCAGATGATACTAAACTGCTCATAATAGTAAATTCCAAAGCAGACTGTGAAAAGCTTCAGAAGGATCTCACAAAACTAGGTGACTAGGCAACAAAATACAAGATAAATTTTAATGTTGATAAATGCAAGGTAATTCACATTGGAAAAAATAATCCCAACTACACACATAAAATGATGAGGACTCATTTAGCTAGAACCACTGAAGAGAGAGATCTTGAAGTCATTGTGGATTGTTCTCTGATAACATGCACTCAATGTGCAACAGCCAGCAAAAAGCAAACAAAATGTTAGGACTCATTAAAAAAGGGAGAGAGAATTGGAAACTGTCTTATTGCCTCTATGGTCCATGATATGCCCACATCTTGAATATTGTATGCAGATATGGTCTCCTTATCTCAAACAAGATATCTTGGCATTGCAAAAAAGTTCAGAAAAGGGTAACAAAATGACCAGGGGTTTGACATGGCTGCCATATGAGGAAATATTAATAAAACTGGGACTTTTAGAAAAGAAGAGAGTAAGGGGGGATATGAAGGGCTATAAAATCATGATTATTGTGGAGAAAGTAAATAAGCATAAGTTATTTTCTTGTTCCCATAACACAAGAACTAGGGTTCACCAAATGAAATTAATAGGTAGCAGGTTTAAAACAAACAAAACAAAAGTACACAATGCACAGTCAACCTGTGGCACTCCTTGCCAGAGAACGTTGTGAAGGTTAGGTCTTTAACATGGTTAAAAATGAGCTAGATAAATTCATGGAGGATAGATCTGTCAATGGTTGTTAGATCTATGGGCAGAAATGGTGTCTCTAGCCTCTGTTTTTCAGAATATGCAAATGAGCAACCTGTTCTGCTTATTCCCTCTGGGACACCTGGCATTGGTCACTGTCAGAAGACAGGTTACTGGGCTAGATGGATCTGTGGTCTGACCTAGTATGGCCGTTCTTATGTTCTTAAGAGCCATGACAATCAGTACGCACTGTAACCAGATTTTGACCAGCTTTAGAAAGAACTAACCTTATCAGCTTCTCCTAAATGAGTTTATATAATTACAAATAAATAAATAATAATTTCTGTGGTATGTTGGATTACCTACAAGACTTGTGTAAGAAATCCATGTGCTGCCAAAGAAACTCGATTTCTTTGTAATCCTCTCTCACACATCCACATGTGTAGCCAGTGCACAAACCCTGATTAATTGACTCCAAAAACTGCTACTGGGCTTCTGTACTTGAACTAAAAAAAGCTTTAGCTTTTTGAAAAAAGCTGTTCTGTTATTCTTTCTGTAGATGAGCCATTAATTTACAAAACCCAGGCTGCCTATAATCTTATCTACTTTGAAGAACACAATAGCTGGGCTGTTGCTGAGTGAAAGTAACAGGCATGAATTCACTCAAATTTTTAGCCTATAAGCCATAACTGTCTAAGCAGAAAATGTAATAATGCATAAATAAAGGGTAGTTTAATTTAAACTTAGTATCATCAGGCAAATCTGAAGTAAAACTATCATTTGATTATTGTTCGGGTTATATTACTGTATCTCTTTTTGTATAAAAACGGATGCTCGTTGTGGCCTACTTTATTTGTCTATTACAGATTTTTAAAATTTCCCTCTGAAAAATATGATATTAGTTACTGTTTAAAACAGAACATTAGAGTAAATGGAAGCATAGAAGAATGCCAAGTTAAATAGCACTCGTAATAGCAATGTGATATTTTCTGGCAATAAGTCTTAGCTGTGCAACTTCACTTAACAATGTTTCATTTTTTATGCTGCTTTGCTGAGGACTGGTGAATACTCAACTCCCTGAAGGATATGAAGACTATGCTACAGTCCCAATAGAAAATCATAGAAGGTGTGATAAAAGTGGGAACTGTGTAATATTTTTATGAATGCTATGCATAGCAGTGACTTAGTTGACTTGGTATTGCTCCCTACTGGGTGAAAAAAAAAAGAATTAAAATTCTGATTCTGAGGCAGTGCAGGAGACATGAAGTGTTTCTCTCACATGAATGTCTGGGGTATTATGAATGGTCATTAAGGACTGGGGGATCCAAAAAGACATTATCAACCATGATGACTAAACAATTGACACTTCCCATTGTTGGCAGGCTGAACATGTGAATTCAGCATGGCTCTGCCGGAAAAGGGCAAGAACTTAAGAAACAGGAGGCTATGATAAGTGCTGACATTTCAGAAATGCAGAATCTCATTAGTCATATTTGTCACATTTTTTCAGCTTATCCTCGTCCATACCTCCATGAACACCATTCCATTTTGTTGCAAGTACATTCTTTCCATTTCTGGCCAAAGAGTTTTGTCATTGGTCTGCC